ACATATATGTAAGAGATCTTCTTTATCTAACCTTTAGTTCTTTTAGTTCGTGTTGACGCTGCCATTCTTGTGCATTTTGGAATTCTTTTCGCTCTTGCTTACGCCTCAATTCATGTTCCTTTTCCAATTGCTTCTCTTCGGCAAGCCGCTTCCGTCTTTGTTCCTCCATATTTCTTCTGGTTTCTTCTAGTCGGACGTTAGCATCCATTTCATTTTGCTCAACTTGATCTATAGCCGATTTGGCTTCCTTGTTAACAATAATTTCCTTTTCTGGTTTTGTTTCTTTCGGCTTTTTATAGCACACGCCGCCATCGCACACTATTTCCTGCTCATCATCATCATGTTGAACTTTATTATCTATCTCCATTGTCGAACTACTTGTTGAAGGCTCTGTGCTGAGAGAACGAACTGGAACCTCTTCTTCTGGTACATTTTTGCTCGTTACAGTGCTGCTAGCTGGTGGACTTTGAGCTTTTTGTTCAGCCTCAATAAAAGAAGACGAAGCGTGCACAGCGGATGTACAGCGGCCGGAAGAAGTGAGCACTTTATTAATTTTCTCTTCCAGTTCCTCTACTGAAGCAATAATGCCGGTTCCAATTTCAAGTGGGGTGCCGGATTTTCCTATAAAAAAGATTGATGGTACTGGCACTACTTGGTCTAAATATTAAAAGAGAGATTAAAAGGATGCAATTGTTTAAGTTTTATAAACATATATATATATTCCAAAGTCTAGAACTCACAAATAGTTGCGAACTGCATATATGATTGGCTATCACTTTCGATTTTTATAGCAACAAAATCGTCAGACTCCAACTTCTCGCGTATTTTCTGACTATTTATAAAATTTGTAAGTTTTGTAGTTGACTCATCTTTCCCTGTGGACATGCAAAAAAAAATAAAATAAACGCCATATTCTAAATCAGTTTATTTTCGGTAAATTATCGACAAGAATGACGTGTTCCGTCGCTGCAAATTTTTTTATTTTCATTTTCCCTTGGCCAAGCAGCCAGCATTCCTACGCACCTTCAACGTAAACAACGAAAATTGCATTGTTCGCCTTCGATTTAGCAACTGCTTCTGCAATGTTACCGTTGTACCAATTCATTTTAAATTTTCCCACGGTTTTCAATATTTTTGTATAACTAATTTGATATCAAATAGAAAACTGCAAATTTCTTTTTCAATCTCAAAAAAAAAATAATGAAGAAAATCAACTGATTGGAACAACAATGTTGCCGTACTATGATATTTCCATAAGTGAGACTTGGAAGCACTTATTGGAGTTCAGAGAACTACATTGGTTTTTAAACTGAATTAATGCCCATTCCAGACTAGTTGCATTGCGACAAGATATAATTTTATTTTTTAATTAAAATTAAAATCTATGAATTCAAATGCCCGCTACGAATACGAAAAAATTGCTATCACTGATTCCGAGTGAACTCGAAAATATCGTTGCCAGCTTCGAATGCTGATTCGAAATCAATTAGTGCAAAGGAAACAACAGACATTTATGTATGTCATTTTGCTGGCGCTGGTTCATCGGGCGCAATGGCCGAGTGTGCAAAGCACTAGACCGCCAATTGAGAGAGCCAAGTTCGAGTCCGAGTCGTGGGGCAGTGGGGATTTTTTTATTTAATTTTTGTTTATTTTTTAATACAAATTTTTTTTATTATATTTTTAGCTTAGATTTTATTATTTTAAATAGAAAAATATTTTTTTTTTAAATAAATTTTTATGATATTAAAGTAACTAGGTGTATTTCCTTACAAATTGTTGCTAAACTATTATTTCCTCGATTCATACAAAATATTAATTCATTAAATAGCGTCTAGCAGATGAATGTGTGTATGTACATATGTATGTCATTGGTATTTTACGTCTACGTTTACACAAATATATGGAATTATATCAAACTATAACAAATTTGGGATATAATAAATATTTAATATTAAAAATAATGCAGCTTTCTTCCACTATTTTTAAGATTGAGTGATTTTAAATTTTTTTCCGACAGCATAATCTCGTCGTAGAGTATCTGTACGAATCTTCATTACGAACGGATTCAATGAAGGCTCTCTACGAATTTCGAATTTTCATTCGTACAAATTCGGATTCTGTGATAGCACTTTCGTAGATTTCACGAAAATCGAAGCTACGATGGATTCTGTGATAGCCCTGAATATGTTCGTGCTTAAACTTTTGCTAAGCGTTTCTCCTCCATTTGTGGTGTGTGTCTTGATGTTTTTACACAAATGGAGGGGCCTACAGTTTTTCCCCGCCACCGAACGACAAAATGGATTTTTATGATTAGCTTTTTCATGGCAGAAATACACTCGAAAAAACTTATTCTATTTTAGCGTTTCCCGGACCAGCGAAGCGAACGCAGGGCCTCGCACCTCTAACACTCAATCACAGCGAAAATGAAGCATTTCCAAAATAGGTATTTCAAAATTTTTGCTGATTTAATATTTAAAAATGTTTAGTTCATTACATAGGTATATACGAGCTTTTTTAATATACATTTTAGTAAATGAAACTTAAAATAAGTATTCCAATCTATCGGGTTTGTTTGGTGGTGCTTAGTGGTCTACAATTTGGGAACTATCCAACTCTGCAAATAGAATAGATTGATTACTCGGTTTAATATCTTTTTAAATACAAGTCTCTTTACCTGATTCAGATAGAATTCTAGCACTGGTTACGGAGCCAGCGCGTGAGGATATTTCACTCCGTACTAAATTTAACCTAGGCAAACGAATGCAACAACGACGCATTTTGGAGTCTTTTCCAATGGAGCCGTCAATTTTGCCATTGGTACATATTACATTTTCCGAACAACGTTGTAGCCGCACTGCACAACGTCTTATTCTTTGGTCTAAGATTTGCTCCTAGAAAATATTAAGAAAAACAATTAATTAAACCGTATGCAATCGAGAGTATTTTTGTGCTGAATCCTCTGTAGAAGGCCAGCACTAATGACTACTATCACAACGCACCTGTACTTCTGCTGGAGTAATTCCGACATATGATAAACGGTTTAGCTTTACGGAGCACTTCTTAGTTTTGATTGATGAATCCATGTTTTGTTAAATAGGAATTGTTACAATAAAAAACGATTTATTAATATAATTCTCTTAACAGAATTTCACAAAATTTTCTGTGCTGGAATTGTCAAAATGGACGCTGTTATCTTGCTTTTAATTATCGCTGGCGAAACACCTTTTTATGGTTTTGTTTTGAACATACTCCTTAAAAAAGTGATGCCACATGATTGTAAATAGAAAATAAGGTTATGTTTACATAGAGATTCATAAGTGGAATTCGCGCTTCTGTTTATTTGTTGTATCTTGAGTAAATGTTATTGAATGAGCGTGTGATTTGTTGTTGCTAGTGGTAAAATAAATACGCTTGCAACAATAATCACACGCTCATCTAGTTACACTTACGCATACATCTAATACACTGAAGACGAATACCACAATATTTGGGCAATTCACAAGATGTCGTATTTGTCGTGTTTGTCGTGAAGTCATGATATTTCATGACAGTTGTAAAAATGTTGTTATTGTTTTGTGAAGAAAAATAACACATGACGATACAACTCTGCAACCTATGTTTATTCGGTGTTATGTGAGGTTAAGTGCTGAGATATAATAAATAATCGTAACAGGTGTTCACAACCGTCGTGTTTTAACACAACTTTTGTTAGGAAAATATAACTTCACAACACCTTGTGAATTGCCCAATTGTGTGTACTTCCTGCAGCCGAATGAACCTCGATACACTAGTAATTTTAGGCGGGTTGAAACGACTTTTTCACGGACGAGAAAGGGAGAGAGTAATAGTTTTACTCAACAATTTTAGACGCCGAAAAATGCTTTGGAATTCGGTCTGAAACACATCCGTACATGTCTGATAAACGAATGTGTGTTTTACGTGTTGGTCTGCTATCAATCTGCTTTGACACATCTCACAAGTACTTTTTCAGGGCTCATTCCCTAAAGCATTGTTTTATTCCTTTAAAACACAATTATTAGTTGCGTTCTCCAACTTTCCTGGTTTAAAGCCTGTAAAACTGTCAAAAAGCAAAAGAATCCAGGGTACCGAGTACGAGAACGCTTTCGGGCAAACAAAGAACGTAAATGTATAAGAAGCGACAACTCGTTACTTTGAAAATGTGCCGCGACGATTTTGACCGTATCTGAAAGGTTGAGACAAAGAACGTAAATCATTTACATTTACATTTACGTTCTTTGGTTTTGGCGATTTTTTTCAGAAACTGCGCATTTTTTAAACAATCTGTACACCCTGCTTATCAATAGGTGCGTTCGACAAGTCAAAAATTTGTAATAGTTTAACCAAATTTTTACTGGATGGCGTTCGATAACGACAAAATATTATCCAACACACAAAAATTGAGAGAGCAAGCGTTCATTTTGATGCAAGAGAAGCGTTCATTTTGTACTGGCAAGTTTTAGTCAGCAAAAATTATCCAACACGAAAACATATGATCACAAAACATATGGTTGCAATTTTTGTAAACAAACAAAATTGCATTTTCCGGGTTTTGGTATTTATATGCTTTTTGGCTGCCTGCTATGTGACTTTATGATAGCGGCAACTAGTTTTTACTTCTAGAAATGTTCCTGGCGAATATTCAACGTTCACTTTCCTTTTTTCTCTATGGAGGCAACATGAATTTTAGTTTGTTTACAAATAAAACATAAACAAAGTCAGCTGGTGTGTCTTCTTCTTCCGGTTTTTGCAAGTAATGGCTAATTTCCTGTTCGTTTACTTTTTTGCTTTTTCATTTCTTTGGGAGAGAATTTTCGAATTTTATCGAACGCAACTAATATCTTTCAGCTCGTGTCAAAGTGAACAAACCTAGTAAAAACAGCTGATACACAAAATGAAAAAAAAATAACAATAGCAAGTTGAATTTAACAAATTTGGACACGAGAGATAAGTTGCTTTTGCGAACACGCGTCTGTTAAATTATGGCTGGGCTTGTGCACTTGGCGCGATTGTGCAGTAAACAACAGCAAATAACAACAAATAGGCGTTTCTCTTGCATTGTTGGAAAAACTTGCAGCGTACTTAAAGCGCATAGACATCGTCAATCGCCTGCACACTTGGTAAGCAATTTTTTTTATTCACTTCCGTCAAACTCAAGGCCATACCATGCGACTATCTTAAATTTCGTAACATTAGATATAATCACCATTTGATACACGTAGCATGATCAGGCATAACCATATTGTTGATAATGCGCTTCTGGAGTGGTCAGTCAAACAGTGTTTGCGAATGTATTGTTTTGGCCTTCCGTTTAGTAAAATATATGAAATATACATAAGATAGTGTATGCAGTTATTTACGGTTTTCCACTTATCTATTTCTCGTTGCAGAATTGTTAAACTACTAAAAAACAACCAGAAAATATTTTATAAATTAAACCAAAGTAAAAAGGCCAAAGCAATACCCCTCGAACACTGGTTGCCGTGAAGCTCAGAAGCAACTCAAGACTTGATTAGATTACACTGCAGCGGAAGAGGGAGATCTAGGACGAACAATCTTTTTACTTATAAGAATTTTGGCAAAATAAATGAAATGGGCAGAACAAAACGCTCCAGGCAGCGCAAAATGCGTATTAGAAATACATGTACCGGCTCGAAAGATGTGCTGACGCCATTGCTACATCAACTGCACTGGTTGGGCTGGAAAAATACAAACGATCTTACAGCTTGCGACTTTCTCACATTAGGTCGCGGTATTTGTTCAAAAACGCGAAAATTCCATGCCGGTGATACGCTCATAAGCTTACCGCTCAAATGCTTAGTAACAATATCAACACTAGAAGATTCAGCGCATTTCAAAGCTCAATTTGACGCTTCAAAATTCAATAAGGAACAAAAAGTACCTTATCAATCACTCCTTGCCCTTTATATATTGCACGAGAAGCACTTGGAAGGTGCATCCCATATAAACGCTTATATAAACTCTATACCCAAGCAGTTTAGCAACACCTATTTCTGTCCAATAGCTGAATTGCAGCGCTTGCCAGAGGAAATTTTGGAAAAAACCGTTGAGCAAAATCGTGTCATTCGTGAAAGTTATGCATGCTTAAAAAGTATTTTCAATAGCACTCAATGTAGTTATTGCCGACAGTCTTACTTTGAAGAAATCTATACTTTAGACGCATTTAAATGGGCTTACTTTGCTGTAAACACACGCAGTGTTTATGTATTTAGCCGCCAATTCAAACCAGATAAATGCTTCTTTCAGCCGCTCTTAAGTGACGAGCCAAACATGGCCTTAGCACCATTCCTAGACTTGTTTAATCATTCAGTTGATGTGAGTACCAGTGCCGATTTGCTGCCAACTGGTCCCAATAAACAACTGGAATTTGTTTTGACTTTAGAAAGCACAAAAGCTGTGATTGAACCACGTTCGCAGCTGTTTATTAGCTATGGATCGCTATCAAATTTCAAATTACTAACCGAATATGGTTTCTACATAACACATAATCCACACGATTATTTCATCTTTTCACTAGCAGACATTGAGGAGTTTTTAAAGGAAGATAAAATGAATAGGAATTTAATGCTGCATCGCAATAAATTTGCCTTTATACGCAATCACAATTTGCACGATGAGATGTTTGTGCATTTGGACGATGGGGCTTCACATAATTTATGTGTGGTGCTACATTTGCTGGCGCACGAAGAGAGTATCTACCCGAATGTGTTGAATCAAGTTGCATTTGGGGCAGCTGAAAATCTAGCCAATGTCGTAGAGGAAGTACGCGCACTTGTAACATATAAAATAAATGCATACAGAACTTTCAAAGGTGATTTGGAAAAACTTCCCACTTTGAGTGAAAGCGGAAAAGTAGCGAAAGGTTATTTAGAAGAATGTATAAGATTTTTAGAAGAATATTTAGATAAACATTTCTAAATATTGTAAAGTAATGCTTAAGAAAATATGTTAGTTTTATGTTTCCTCTTTGAATAAAACAAGTTTCTTTTGTATTAAAAATATCTTTCATTCTGGTACAGTAAATTTTTCGCAATATGTATATGAACAATTTTCATTCTGATTTCTTTTCGATCATTTTTTTTTTCATAAAAATATAATTCATACTACAACAAAAAAACATAAAAATTAAATATCTAAACTTTGTGCAAAACTCAGGAATTCAATAAAGGTGCATACTGATTTGCAACTTCCTAGCCGGATTTTTTTTTGCGTACGCGGTTATTATTTTATCCCATTCAATATTATTCTTCCATGGAAGAAACTGCGTGAAAAATTGCCAAAAATTAAAATTATTCTATATTGCAGTTTTGCTCCAGTCGCTCTGTAGCCGACAGCGATGATGTTGCGAAAACGCAGAAGAAGAAAATCACGCCATTCACCCCTACGCCAGGGAACAAGCTACTTGGTGGTGTACTGGTGAAGAAAGTGCCCAAAGGTAACTAAGATTCAATAAGACAGTATTTAAACGCATCATCGAAACCAACGGCTTAGTGTTAAATACAAAATAAAAAGAGAAGGTAATAAAGTCCTTGGGAGAGCAGATGTCAAAATGGTATAGGTGTCAGTTGGTAGTATTACCGAAAAAGGAGTGCATGCCGATACATATACATTTGTATACATATTTACAATCGCACTCGTAAATGTATTTAATTTACAAAAATTACGTAAAGTTTGCAATGCCGTTTCCTTTATATTGAGTTGAAAGTTTTAAAGAAATTATTTAAATTGCAGGCATGCATATTGTAAGTCCTGTGCATTTCCGGCTCTTAATCAAAGTAGAAATTTCCAAAATTTTCTCATTTAAATAATTTCTTCCCAATTGCTTTGATTTCCTGCTTTGTTGAATTTTTCGTTCCATGGTCATTTAATACAATACTTAAAGGTATACTAATTTTAACCATATTGTTTCTTTCCCCCTTGTTTGTGTCATTATACCATTTCTGATTTTCTTTTTTTTTTGCAATAAGTTATATATGTATTTACTTACGTAACTTACGTTCCAGAGCTAACTGTGCTAACATTCTTCCTTTAGTTTTTTATTAATCATCAATCAAACGCTTACTGTTGTTGTGTGCCTTTGTTGGGGTCTTACTTTTGAATTCAGTAACTCCCCGCAGGTCCAGCAACAACAGCGCAGCGGCTTCCATTACGAAATTGTCATGTTCATTTAGGCGGCACTGATGGGGGCAGTACTCTGGGGAAACTCGACGCGCCGGAGGTGACGTCACAAGATATGATGCGTGCAATGATGCACTACATCTGGCCAAAGGAGGATGCGCTTGTGCGAAAACGGTACTTGCACCGAAGCCTTTTACATGCGTAGTTCCTTTTTTTTTTTAAATTATAAATTTTTTCTCACTTCTCAGTGTGGCTATCTCCTTGAGTCTGCTGGTTGGCTCCAAATTGATGACGGTTTGTGTGCCGTTTCTGTTTAAAGGTGCCGTCGACACGCTGAATACGATGAATACCTTGAATATGGATACACCACCCGACACGGTGCTATCCGTAGCCACTGCCATGCTGCTTGGATGTAATACACACCGTTTAACTGCTTACTACAAGATCATGAATGTATTGAATACACTAAATACTTTTAGATGGTGTTGCGCGTGCCAGCGCTGCTGCCTTCAATGAGCTGCGAAACGCAGTCTTCGCCAAGGTGGCACATCATTCCATACGGAAAATTGCCACGAACGTGTTTTTGCATTTGCACAATTTGGATTTGGCATTCCATTTGAATAAGCAGACTGGCGCCTTATCCAAGGTAAATTATTTTAGTGTAATGCTCGCGGCAACTTTCCAATATATGTTAAATTTATCCAATACAGACCATTGATCGTGGCTCGCGTGGCATAAACTTTGTGCTTAGCGCTATGGTTTTTAATATTGTGCCAACAATATTCGAATTGGCTTTGGTATCCACCATCTTGGGAACTAAGGTAAGCAAACTGCCGCAAATACATACATATATTCGTAAATCACTTTTCTATATACAAAATCTAATCCAGTGCGGTTTAGCATTTGCCGGCGTGTCAATGGGTTGTGTTGGCATCTATGCTACATTCACGCTAGCTGTGACGCAATGGCGCACTAAATTTCGCATCTACATGAATCAGGCCGAGAATGAAGCGGGCAACAAAGCTGTCGATTCACTGATCAATTACGAAACCGTCAAGTATTTCAATAATGAGAAATTCGAGGCTGGCCGATATAATGAAGTGTTGAAGAAATACGAGGTGGCTAGTTTGAAGACGAGTACCAGTTTGGCTATGCTGAATTTTGGACAAAATGCTATCTTCAGTTCAGCACTTAGTGTCATCATGTTGCTGGCTGCCAATGAGATAGCAAAGGGAAATATGACAGTGGGTGATTTAGTGATGGTTAATGGCCTGCTATTTCAGCTTTCCATACCACTAGGTTTCCTAGGTAGCGTGTACCGAGAGGTACGCCAGGCGCTGCTTGACATGCAGGCAATGTTTACGTTAATGAATGTCGACACGCGTATAGCCTCAGCACCGAATGCACCCTACTTGGCGGTTGGCTGCGAGAATGCATCAATTGAATTCAAAAATGTCAGTTTCGAGTATGAGCCGGGCAAACCCATCTTCAAAGATATGTCTTTCAGCATACCAGCGGGCAAAACAATTGCTTTCGTTGGTGGTTCTGGCTCGGGAAAATCGTCGATGGTGCGCCTACTCTTTCGTTTCTTCGAACCTAACGCGGGTAAGATATTCATTAACGGACAAGACATCAGCGAAGTGGATTTGGACAGTTTGCGACGTGTCATCGCTGTAGTACCGCAGGTACATTAACTTAATTTGTGTCACTTAAGTTCTACTACATTGTTTTGTGTAGGACTCAGTGCTCTTCCACGATACCATTCAACATAATATACATTACGGCAACTTAAACAAATCGCAAGAGGATGTGGAAAATGCAGCCCGCATGGCGGATTTGCATGACTCCATTATGAGTTGGCCCAAGCGATATGAAACCCAGGTGGGCGAACGTGGCTTAAAGCTATCGGGCGGCGAGAAGCAGCGCGTGGCCATTGCGCGTGCCATACTGAAAAATTCACCGATTCTCATATTCGACGAGGCAACGAGCAGTCTGGACTCTATAACCGAACAGGTATTGGAAATTTTTTAATCGTTTAACGAAATAACATTCAGCTTTACTTTTTCTATCCGATTTCCTCTAGCATATTTTGCAAGCCCTATCACGCGCAACTCAGGGCCGCACTAGTATATGCATAGCTCACCGGCTTTCCACCGTCATGGATGCCGATGAGATATTCGTATTGGAAAATGGCCGAATCGGCGAACGTGGCACACATGCAGAGCTTTTGAAGAAGAATGGCCTATATGCGCGTCTATGGGAGGCGCAAACGCAACAATTCTGACCAGAAACATCTGATCCGCGACTGCCTTTTGGTTGTTTAAATGTCATGTAATTTTATTGTTGTTGATTTACAGAGAGGCTATTTAATGATTCATTGTCAGTATGTAGTTATGTATGTTTAAGCATCAAACTTAGAGAAAACCACAACAATGGGCCGTATGAATGAAAACAAAGCAATTGCTCTTTCTTAAAATTTCAGACCTTTTTTAACCGACTTCCAAAAAAATTAGGAGGTTATCAGTTCGCCGGAATATTTTTTTTTTTTAATTTATTTCAATAAATCGAGTAATCTGAAATTTCAAGAAAACACAATTGCTTACAGTTTTTATTCATGCGGATATCATAAACACTAACAAATGCACACATCAACTAACTAACCTATACCCATTGCCGTGTATGTATTTGTAGTCAACTTAAAGTCGACTTTAAAATTATTGGGGCATATTCTTGTCTACGTACGAATCGAAAATCATGAAAATTTCTTTTCATTTCCTATACAAATATTTCAAATTTTCGATTCGTACCAAAACATGAATACGCCTCATTAAGAAATTTTTGAATTGCTTCTGAGTTAAAAATTCGTTTCAAAAGCTTTTGCCATTTCAACTGGCGGCAATTGTGTATAGGCATGAAACCTTGTTAATAAACACACACACACACACACACATGATTTGTATTGTACTGCTGTCGTTTTAAGGTGAAAAGTCGCAGGCAGTTGCAAATAGATAGACACTAATGAGAGATGCTGTATCACCACCCGGTCTAAACAATGATTTGTTAATAAGATTCCTGTGAGAGTGCCAGCCCAGTGCTGTATTGTAAATAGAGAAATACAAAAAATATATAAAAAAGCTTAAAAACAATAAAAACGTAGACTTATTTCTTGTTAATTTTTATATATTTTTTTTAATTTGTATACAATTTAATAACTTTATTATCCATTTATCACACAATTTTAACATTTTGATCTCAAATGCTTTTTTTTCGGCAAAAGCGGTTTTCGAGGCAGTTTATGCTAAAAAAAAAAATCTCTAGTTGCGCTCACGTACTTCCATAGGTATTGGCACGTCATAAAACAAATACAACACACAATTAGCCATATGCTTAAGGAATTGTTTATAGTTTTTTACGCGACTCTTAAATTCATCCCAAAGTGGCAACAACGGTTTGGGTTCTTTGCTGCTGTAATCATCGATCAGCAACTCATTATCGATCATTGTTTTGTTCTGAGGAAGAAAATAATGCCTATTAGTTGGTTTGAAACTCAAAATATTGAACGGCGTACTAATGTATTCATGGCATTTTCTAATCCTTAATAGTTATTTTTTTTTTGTTTACCAATACTACCCACCCCTCCTCCTACTCACCATGAAAGTATAGAGATATGAAGATGGCTTCTGTCCGATTGTTGTTATATGATGTGTCTCCCCACTTTTCAATACAAAACTCTTGCCAGCCGTTAGAAAGTAAAATTCATCCTCATCGTCACTTTTATAGCGCACGTTTCCCGCCAGAATAGTGAGCGTTACATTTGTCAATTCAGGCGAAATGTAATTGTCCAACGTTAGCCCCGGAAAGTCGGCTACGAAAATCACATCAGAGTAATTACTCCAACCCAAAACCTCATTCGTCATAGTCTTCAATTTTGGGCGCATATAATTCAACTCGTTCAGCAGTGGCAGTGTCCACGGGGTATGCCGAAATGGCGACCACTCAGCCTTGAGCAGATCCACACGTGGATCGAAGACGCGCTGTTGAAAGCGTCCGTTCATCGAACACCAAACATCGAAGTAAATCGAAATATTCGTCGAACTCAATGGGCTAGCCTGTGGATCTATCGCGTAATCTTCACGTATATTGGCCGCAATGCATTTCGCGTACTGGTAAGCCATATCGGCATGTTTTGTCCAGCGGTCATATTCGGTGAAGGCATACGGATCTAGGTAGTGTACATTGCCGTTGTTGTTGTCGACGAGTTTAACGGATGTCAGGACTGTGTCGTAGGTGTGCACCATCATGTTCCAGGAATAGCCGTAGAGTCCTTCAGTCCAATTGTTGTAACCTTTGGTGATGAAATGCGAATATGGCAGGAAAAGTTGCAGGGCGCAGTAGGCGAGTATTAGCGCAGTACGCGACTTCGCGGCATAGCCACGGCTTTTTATGTGCACCGTCTGGCAATCGTTGCTTTGGGCGCTCGAAATCTGATTCTGGTCACACGCTGGAGCAGCAGACTCTTTCGTGGTGGCTTCGGTTGTCGCGCTCATTTTTTCTGCTGGCAGCTGCTGCGCTTGCGCCTTGGATTTACTTGCTGTTAAAATATGCAGCACAAAGCGCTTAAAAGTAAGTTTGCGAGGCCAGCTAAAGCCAAAGAAGAGCGGCACCTCGGCCAAGCAGACCCAAGGGAACATGCCTAAAATAAAAATTTCGTTTATTCCTTAAATTTTTTTTTTTTTAATAAAATATTTGCTTTTTGCACCTATCACAAATAGTCGCGAGTTCATCAAGTGAAAGCTGATCATAAAAGGCGTGGCCAGAAGCCTTGTCGCCTCCCAGGTCATAAAGAAGGCAATGGAAAAGTCGAAAATCGCTGTAAACCAATGTACTATCAACAGATCCGTTAATTCCGCCGACAACAGCGAACGAAATGGTCTGAAGACCCAATGCTGGCTGAGACTGGACATGGCATAGCCAGAAAGCCACTCGGCGGTGAATTTCTTCAAACCGGCATACACGTAGAGCACGAAAAATTGAAACTTTACTAAAAAGTAGTTCCAGTAGGGTACAGTCTCCGGCATATTCGGTTGTAGGTATTTGTCCAAAGAACTGTAGCGCAAAAGAATCACTAAAATAAATTTGGCCAGTTACTTTTTAAGATACCACCCACTTACCAATACCGATTCGCATCTGTGAATAGAAGTATTGTGCCAACCAAACCAAACAAATAACTGTGATTATTCCACGCCGGTTTGTCGAGCAGAAATATATACCAATATGGCATAATATACACCAGGCAGCTGAGGCGAAAGCGATAGCCCAGCATTATGCCGAGTGCGCCCAACCACATGACCAGATAAATGCAGCCCATCAACGGAAACGAGACGGCGCGCATGTCATTAAAGAGCGGAAAATGACAGTGTTGTGGCTCGCCGAAGCGCAAATCCATTTGGCCGCCGCCACGCTCTTCCGCAATGTCGATGCACATAGCCAGGCCTTCAAAGATAAAGATAAAGAGTTGAAATGTTTAATTTTTTTTTTGGATGTGAAGGAAGTTCATAGATCTTACCATATAACATACGAAAAACTCCGATCGCTGAGGCATCAACGGGTCGATGTAACCAATTCGTGAAACTGGCATAGGATGTGAAGTTATCGATCTCATAGCCGGTGAAAAATGTAAAAGCTTCGTGGAATTTGCACTTTCCCTTGCAAGTGGCAGCAGTCTTTTTGTTAAGATTGGCATTACCATCGTCAGTTGCTTTGTTTTTTTGAACCGCTGTAGAGTTGGACGAGGTTTCAGCAAGCAACCCATTCTTGGCAGCCATTTTTGTTGAGAACTTTTGATGTGGAAAATGGAATATTTTCTTATTATATTAATTGTTAGAAACTATTTATTTGCTAAATGAAGCTAATATGATAATTTTTAAAGCCCTCTATTATCATACCCTGTCGAGATAAAATCCGTTCGTCTAACGGTAGGATCACGACATGAGCTATTTCAATGGATTGGAACCAAAAGTTTGTACGTTTGTTTGGATAAGTAGAAATTTAACCCCTATTACGATATACATTTTATAAGGGAGCACAATAAAATGCTCACAAAGCAGATCCTTGCATGAGGAAGAGCCTATGCACAGGCACGTCTTTTCGAATATATGGATGTGGTCCAGACCTACACAGACAACCTTTGAAGTCGACGACGTACTGACGAGAGGGCCTATGATTCTCGACTTTTCAATGGCGTAATCGGATCCCAATCTCCATCCATTGCAGAACAAGAGCTTCCACTGACACGAGAAACTCGCGTCACTCTAGCCCAATTACGGCCTGGATACTGTAGCCGCTTAAACAGCTCCTTATCCACACTCGAACCCGATATCCCCAATCAGTGTTCGGCAGGTGGAGACTTTCCCTACGACACCAACCACTTCTTCACATGTCAACTCAATCCCAATCGTCCAACACCTCTCTCTCTCTGGAACAACCCCGCCGAACGATTGATGGATAAACTGACCTAGGCGGGGTTTGGTAGTGCCGCTACAAAAACAACAAAAACATGTAAATCTCATGCCTGGACGCCAAAATGAGGGGGGGGGGGGGGGGNGGGGGGGGTGGAATCAAGGAAACGAATTTTGGTGAAAGTGGAAAAATAGCGGGGAGAAGAGAATACCCTGAGACAATGCCTGTTTATTTTCCAAATTTTGAGGTTTACTTCACCAGGGTCAATAATGGCTTTACAGGCCGACTTTAGGTCAAGCCTTCAGTGAGTCCATTCATATAATAACCGGTTCTTCATACCAGAATTACTCGAGTTTAACCCAAGTTGAAAAAGCGACTAACGAAAAGAGAAGCTCGAGTGAGTAAATCTTACGCATATATGCGTGTATATTGAAATGTAGAAGAACTTTCAATACTTTAATACATTTTGTTTCCGAAAAAATACCAATTAGTATGGGGTGTGCACTGCGACCTAAGGATCTTCTTCTTCTTATTTGGCACTACTACTGTTTGTCGGTTGGGGCCGAGACCAAAAAGCTTCTCCAATTGTTTTTCTCCTGTGGGAATTCGCGCCAGTTGGTTATTCCGAGCGCAAACAGGTCCTTCTGCACTTGGTCTTTCCATTGCGTTCGTGTGCACCCTTGCTTTCGTTGTCCACCCAAGGGTGCGGAGTCGAAGGATCTTTTGACCGCAGCGTCGTCATCCATGCGTACAACATGTCCAAGCCAGCCCAATTGCTGTATTTTTATGCGCTTAACTATGTCCATATCGGTAAAAAGTTCATACAGTTCGTCATTCCATCTTCTCCGATACCCGTCGTCCACGAAAACAGGACTGTAGATCTTGCGTAGAATAGTTCGTCCGGGGTCCTTGTTGTTCTTAAGCCGCTTAATTGCTGTTCTCACCTCGTCTTGGTCGAGTTGAGAGACGTGAGCTTCGTCCCTATACATGGGTTCGGGTTCTCCTTCACCCCACCTGTGGATAAATTTGGTTCCTCGTTCTTTGATCAGGGGAAACCCAAGTTGCTTTGTGGATGTTTCGATGCTGGTGTCTGGTACTACTGACTACCATATTCCGTGCAGCGGCAAAGTCGATCAGCCTCTTTCCGTTGTCGGAGGTGTTGTTGTGAACGCTGAATTTTCGGACTGTTGGACCAAATATGCCTTCTTTGCCCACCCTGGCGTTAAAGTTGCCAAGTACGATTTTAATATCGTGGTGGGGGAAGCGCTCATACGCTACTCCTATGCACTCATAGAAAAGCTCCTTAGTCTCTTCCCTTCCGCCCTTCTCTTGCGTCGGGGCGTGCACTCGAAATAGGCTGATGCTATTAAATTTCGCCTTTATGCGGATGGTGGCGATTCGCTCACTGATGGGCGCGAACGGGGAGAGAAGGTGTCGGAGTCTCCGCCCAACCACAAATCCGCCCCGCTAAAACTGCGAATTACAATTCGCCATTGTCATAAAACCTGCTTAGGTGAGGCCATAAACGTCTGCTCCTATGTACAGGTGCAAGGTACACTCATCTTGGGGAGTCTTACTATATTCTTCTCTTCTCAAGTGCTATCATACGAAATATATCGTCGCTGGAATGTAGCGTCTCTGGGAAGCAATGTTAGCGGAAGCTGGGTGCCTAATTTCTCAATAATCGTGCATTATGTGATCTTTCCACAGTTAAAGCCATCTCTAGCGAAATTAAGTAGAGTTCGTTTTGCCGCCTGCTTTATGGCTAAGTGTAGAGTCACCTGCTTCCGAACTACTTCCAGGGTAATGTGCACATTACCACCGTAATGCAAGTACATGCATATAAAAAGTTAAAGCTTTCTGAGTGACTGTTTCACCGTAGCTATGGTAGTTCTTGAATCCAAGCTAATGCTCTCATTGATTGTATTTCAATGGCTGAGTGGAAGATTGATCTACATATTTCGGCAGCCGGCTTGAAAATGCGTTATCACAGAAAATTTTTCAAGAACTTCCTATCTCAGACTTCGATTTGATTTTTTGAAAGAACGCTCTATTTAGACTTCGTTTCAAAAATGCCCTATATCAACATATGTATGTATTTTCAATATATTATCAGTTGAGGTAGGGCGTTCTCAATCAAATTCTGAGCAATTTTCTGGAAGATGGCGTTCTCGAACCGGCTACCTGGATGGATAGGTAGTTCTTCCCCTCCGCTTAGATGTCGATTTTCGCTTCGATTTTTTTGTTATCGCCCTCTTTAATCTAGCAATGTTGGAATTTCCTCTCCATGCCAGAATTGTGGCAAGTTCGAAGCTACATATGTATGTTTTTTGAGATTACGCCAAACGATGACGAGTTGGTTTCGTCAATTCAAATTGTATTATATTCGATTTAAAATTTGATTTGGGTTATCGAACTTTTTTCGACTGGCAAAGCTCTAGGATATACCGCAGAAGCGGCCGGGGCTATGAATCTATGACATTCTTGAAGATAATATCCTTCCCTATACCAAAATGAGTTGATTGCGGCCGACTATGATGAGTATTTTTAGTTGAAGGGGCGTATTCATATTAGTTTGGAAGTGACTTTGTGTGCTCTCAAGGCGAAGAGCGCCGCCAAATAGGAGTCTTCGAATAGGAGTCTTCGTTGACACTGTTATTGGATACTACAGTTGGTCCTGCTGGACTATTAGACCTTAAAGTTATGCGTTGTTTTATTGTAGTATCTTGACAGTTAATTAGCATCTTATGACCCATATTTATCTTGATTTGAGTGTTGCTGTAAAAAGTAGAACTCTTTTTGATTTCTCATGGAAACAATCTAGAGACCACTAAAGAGCTGCGGAATGTGTTCCCTTGCGTTGGGATGGGTTTGGGTGGCAGGAATATTAAAAAAAAAACTCTTCCACATCGCCTGCTTAGAATAAAAAGTTGCCAAGCTCATTCTTTTTTAATGTTTATCTTTAAACAAAGCAAAACGACAAACGAATTAAGATGCATTTTTTATTTCTCTTCCTTGACTTATCAAAATATGGATTCTCACAAAAACGTTTCACTCTAAGCTAGCGGTATTTAATTTTTGTTTAATCATTAAAACAAACTTTTTTATATTTTTCTGAATTTATTTAAAAATTCGACATAAATACATGCATGCATATTGTATACTAAATACACTTTGAATAAATAACTACCATTTTTTTTTGTAAATTTTTTATTTTTTTTTTTGTTTTACTAAAAAATGAACTTCATTGCAGAATTGCGAATACATATTTGGGACTTTAAAAAGTCTACTTTTACAAAACATTCGCTTCTTTCCCAGAGCCAACTGCTGCATACATCTACATACACATGTATGTAGGTATGTGTGTGTGTGTGTATATACCCAGCCAGCAAAAAATCCCTAAAAGGAATCAGAAAAGTGGATGAAATGCGGATTTTTTTTCAATTACCGATTCCCTTTTCGGCTACTTTGACAATCCGTTTTCCCACTAAAGTGTGCGGCCGTCTAGAAAAATACCGAATGTTCGGAATGTTCGTATGTTTTTTTCTGAAAATTTTCTGATTAAATTTTTCGTTGAATACGCTTTCCTTCTGCACTACACAGATGCTTTTTCATAGTTCGGAAAAAGAAAACCAAAAAAAAAAAGAACGAAACATTTTCTTGCGTCTGACGGCATTCGAACCCCGAACTTCCTGGAAGCTAACAAATTTTTCAAATGTTCGGTTAGGAAAAATTTATGACAATTTTAAACGTTTTCCATACGTTTCCGGATACTACAAATGTATAACACCGCACACTCGGCAAAACGTTCGTTTCTCTGCTGGCTGGGTACATATGTAAGTATGTATTAACGCAGTATATTTGCGTGAACACTTCAGTTCTTGCTATAATGCAATTGTATGAGTACATATCTCGAGCCTTAACCGCCAAAATAACGTAAGCGACATTTTTTTCAAAATTTTCATTTTGATCCAGAAATGCATCTAGATGCTCTAGGAATGTTTCTACATCAAAGAAAAAAATTTTGAAAAGAATATCGCTTACTTTATTTTGGCGGTTAGGGCTCGATATGTATCTGTGGCATTTTGATGAAACAACCTAAGTGACTTTAGAACTACAAAAGAATTTTGATTTAAAAATGAAGTTTGCCTTTAAGTGCCGTTTTCTCAAGTAGGGTTTAAAATTTATCTGCCCTTCAAGTACATTTTTTCAGAAGCAAAATTTGTGTTTAAAGCGCAGATAATTTTTAAAACCTACTTGACGGCCTTAAAAAATTTCATATTTTATATAAACTTCTATTAAAAGGGCTTCTTAAACTACACTTATGCCTAGTTAATCGGTAAAATAATGTTTGGGAACTCAAATAATTATTGGTTTAAAGAGAAAGTGGCCTAACTCCAGATTAGTTGTTTTATCGAAATGCCACAGATATCTATGTACCTGCATACATATAATTAAATAGTTCACGCTATTCCACGCTCCATTTGCTGTTGCACACATTTTGTTAAAATGATATAAAATACCGACAATTTGCATTTTATTTTTGGGGAAAAATCGCAATGCATTCCGAAATGGAAGCATTTATGCAAAAAATTGCGGTGCTCATTGATTTTTTATTATTGTTGTTTTACATATGTGTATGTACATACATACATACATAAATGTATATGTACTACATATGTAAAGGTTATTAATTTCATATCATGATTTCAAAATTTTCTAAAATTTCTTCGACAAGCTTTGAGAAATGCATCAAAAAACTACAAGTACAATTTTTCATATTTAATGTACATATGTGTGTAGTATGTGTATGTATGTTTGTAGGTAAATACTAGGTATGTATGACCATTTAGCAATTAATCGTTTTTGTTTTTGTTTTGTTTTTTTTTGTTAGTACTTTTTTATTAAATTTTTTGTTTGGTTTGCTTGAAATTGAATAAGTTGTATGTAGTAAGTACGTGGTATGCATTTACTTGCAATATTTTGAAGTTCCACATGTAAGTAAACACTTTGCATATATTTGCATTTTTCACATTTGCACTTAAGCAATTTTGCTCTATTTGTTGTTTTTGCTATAAATCTGCTTTCCTTGCTGCTAAGTTTTGAAAATTTCGCACCGCTAAAAAATGTAGCAGTGCCCATTTAAATGGTAGTTTACTGTGTGTTTGAATAAGTATTTAAGTACATAAGTGTATATTTTTAGAATTAAAGTTTTAATATATATAAAAAATTTATATTTATTTAATAGGGGGGAAATTGTTTAAAATCGATTTGCGTTCGGAAAAGTAAAAAAGTTAAGTAACAAATGCTCGCAGATAACGGTATGATAAAAATTTGTTTTGTTAAAAAATTGAGAATGTTAAAATTTGCATTAATTTCAAAATTTTTTTTTTTTTAACTTTCAATTCATAGACTAAAATATATTCCTCATTTGACAAAAAAAAAAAAAAAATCAACAAAATTCAGCAAGAAATATTGAGAGAATTTATAAACGGTTGCTTAATATTACAAAAAAGACTACAAATTAAATTAAAATAAACAAACAAATATTGGTACTACATATGCTTCTTTGGAATGTGTTACAGTTGCGCTAATCGTACATAGTTAATATTTTTGTCGGTTTGCTTTTTTTTTTGCTTCACCTGTGTGTAGATTATTAAATGTTAAGGGAATATTACTTTCAATTAGATACTTAATTTTTGTTTAGATATTTTTCGTCGTTTCTCTTTTACGGTATCGTTTGGTTACGTACGTTTCTTAAATGTTTTAAATATATATGCGTTTTTTTTTTGGGTTTGCTTGTTAAGTGTGTAAGTACGACAAATATTCATTTTAAATTACTAGATAATTCATTCTTCATTCAATTGTTTTGCATAATTATTTGCTTTTGCAACAAGACTTTTTTTATATGTTTGTATGTAAATCGTCATATTTAAATTTTTATTTTTCAATTTCAATTCTAAAATACTTGAAATGCATTTTAAAGTTGTCTTCAAATGGTTTATCGGCATTTTCATGCACTAAAAACTCTATTTTTGTTTCATTAAATGGAATTGGATCGATACAATTTGCACGATTCACTTTAATAAAAGACAGACATCAAAGTGTCTGAAAGATTTAGAAATCAAAATTTCAAGCAATGCCGGTGTTCGTGGCACAGCTTAATTCGCGTTGGAAAATATAAAAATTTTCATTAAATATTTTTTCTCCTCAAAACCGTACACATTTTTTTCGTTTTCATTTTTCTTCTGTACGCCGCCATTTAATCGCCGCCCCTTATGTTTCGTACCCCCATTTACCATTTAAATACGCTATCGCTACCCCCACCCACTCATACACCCCCTGCGGAAAAGTGAAGGACTTGTCTCTATCGTACACACGTTCCTTACGCTCGCTAATCGCCGGCTGCCTTGCTAACAGCTGTCATCTCGCTTGCGTTCACATTCGATTCGACTTCCTCGTCTTCTGCTTCTTCTTCTTCTTCCTCCTCTTCTTCGTCCTCGTACTCTTCCCCATCGGCATCCGTTTCATCATTCGTTTCATTTTCCGGCACCGCTGCTGCTACTGCTACTGCTGCTTTTTCTTCTTCCTTTTCATTCCCGGTTTCTGTGTTTTCATTTATTGCCCGTACTTCCTCTGCTTCCACTTGCTTACCAACCGAATTATTTTCCTTTTTGTTCAACACCTGCTCTCCTCTCGCCTCAGCAGCTGCGCCCCCTGTCGAATGCTTATCGTGTGTCATTGCCGCTGCCGCTGCCGCTGCTCCCGCAGTCGCAGTCGCAGTTGTGGTTGCTGTTGCTGTTGCTTTCTCAGCCGGCTTGCGTTCGCGTTGTTGCCTCGGCTCCGGTTGCCGTTCGTCATCGCCCTCCTCATTCTCATCTCCGTCCTCTTTTGTTCTTTTCCGCTTCTTCTTCTTATTATTTATACGCCTGCGATTAGCGCCGTCATCCACCCGCCCTTCAATGGCTTTGCCTTATATACGGTTCTGATTCAACTGCGAACGTGGTGTGAATGGGCTGACCATAACACCGCTGGGCCAAATATTTTCGTTGAACAACTCATTGAAACGATAATCCGGTATGGATATCTTGAATTTGCAATACGACAATTGCGACAAATTCGCATCGTTCTTCACCAGCTTAGTGCACTTGACCAGGTTCTTGTTGATCTTCAACTCCTCGGCCAAGTGCTCGATGATGTCGTCCTCGCTGGTGGAGGTGGCGAATTTGCCCACCTGCACCCAACGACCATAGTCGCAGACAACTTGCAGACGATCGGAATTGCAGTTGTTGCCAACCACGATAAGGTTGTTGGTTTGCTTCTTCGGGTCGACGTTGTTCGCGTTGCCGAATTGGAAATACTGCTGATACATACGTGTCGAAATCTGATTCACGCCATTGTAGACTTTATTCAGTTTTTCCTCCATGGTCTGCAGCTTGGCGGCCAGCGCCTTGGGCGATTGATTTTTACATTCTTCGCAATTGAATGAAATCAACGGATTCTTCTGGATCGCATCGTAGACTGCGTCATCGATGTTCACACAGGCCCGGTGAAACTTTTTCATGCAATCATCCGAATTGCAAATGACAATGCCCTCCTTAGTAATCGATTTTTTGCACTTTGGACAATTTTCGGCCATTTTGTGATTAAACGATTTGACGAGGTGCTGATGCGATTTGTAACTGTATGTTTTATTTAGTAGCTGGTGCTGCCAACACTTTACGCCACTTTTGTCGGTATAACAAGAGAAGTGTGAAAAAAAATCCACCAGAACCCACAAAAGGCTGAAACTGAATTAAGCGAACCAACCCGTGCTGAACCCGTACACTGAACAACGGAATGGAATGAGGTGTAGTGGAGAAGAAAATTTGCTGAAGTACGTGAGAAGTTGTGTGTGCCGCTTTCGCCCAAGCCGGTGACTGATCCGTACGCTCTGAGTGCTGCTGTTCAACTGTTCGCTGCTGTTTCGAGAAAGCAGTTAGTTGCTCCCTGTCGACTTTTCGGCTACCTTTCTTTCCTTTATATACATATGTATGTGTGTATATGTAGTATTCGGCACTAAATTTTATATGTAGACACGCACACCTATGAGAAGTTTCTTCCACAATACTCGCGCCGCCCTCTCTTTGTGGTGGCTGGTTTGTCGCTAATGTCGCTTCAACGTCATAGGTATTCGTTTCACACACGGCTCATGTATTGTGTATTGTAAGTGCGCAACCCCTGTTTGCGATGAGCAATTCAACCCTCAACCCCTATTGGCACTGGCGCTCTTTGTGTAATCCACACTCAGTTGTGTGCACTGTGTTGGTTAGTAACCGTATTCTTCAGCAGTTCTATGACCCTTGTGGTAGTTTGATTTCCTGTTCTATTCGGTTACTTTTGCTGCAGCGAAGTTGATTTGGGTTTGGTAATCGTTCCACAAGCGCCAGTGTTGGGTAACGCCAAATATGATGTGGAAACGAAGATTGTTCTTATTGGTTTTTTTATAGCGGGTTTCAACTCATTTATCAATGACACATTTTTACTTTCGACTTACTAAAAATCTATTAATCAAATATTGTTTTTGTGGAGTAACTAAATATATTGTAGGGGTATTCCAAGCGGAATTAATATAATAATACAAAACAAAAATTTACATGTATTTTGTTTTTGCTTTGGCGACATAAACTGTCAAAATCTGTAAGAGTGTGTGTGGAAATTCAAACAAAATTTTTCAATTTGATATTCGAAGCGGTGAGGCGAAACGCATAAACAAAATTAACTGATATAGTAACACCACCTTATATAAATTCGCCTTGGGGTATTCCAAGGCTTATCAAACTGGAGTAAGCATTCGAACAAAGACAAAACAGCTACTCTGCTGCAGTGTTGCCAGAACTTTTTGGGCCGACCGGCTAGATTGGCAAAAAAAAGCGGCTAAAAACGGCTAAAATGTTTTAGTGAAATTTCACATAGACTCTGGCAAAAAACGGCTAAAATGTTTTAGTGAAAATTCACATGCTTTATTTAAATAAATCGCAAGAAACGAAAGACTAGTTAACACCATTAATTTATATCGAGTGTATATTCCTCATCATCAAATGAATCACTATTGTATATATCACCTGAATTCATTAATTTTAAGAGATCGTCATCTACAGTAAAATTATGGCAGCATTTTTCTTCACGTTTTAAACCGTATCTTATATATAAAATAGCGTTTAACGTTTTAACGCACATTGGATTTCTTTGCTTAGTTTTTATTATATTCATTGAACTAAATATTCGCTCTACTTCTGCATTACTTATAGGCAAAACAAGAAAACTAAAAACTAGGTTGCAAAGGTCAGCAAAAGGGTTTTCTCCTAGGGCATTTCGAAATTGATAAACTTCGGCCCAAAATTTTACAGTTGAGTCTAAATTACTCCAGGTATGTAACGTTAACCGTTGCCATTGCATCTCTATGGATGTTATTTCGTCGGCATTATATTTGTGTTTTTGTTGCTGTAGTTGAACAAATACTTTTGGTTTAATTACTCTTAATGCATTTCCCACCGAAAAAAGTCAATTTTTTTTAGTGTGGCAATATTTGTAGGGAGGCGTTGGCGTAATTCCTTTATTAAAGTGATAATAAAATAGCGACCATTTTCTCGAATTATTTTCTCGGCTTCGTGGTCAAAAGCGTTTGTGCTTACTTTTGTTTTTAAATACTCTTCAAAACTGTGATAAAACTGAGGAAATGGAGCAAGGTATGGTTCCAACGGGGAGCATATAGGATCAAATGTGTCCGCGCTAATAACCACTAGGGAGCATAGATGCGAAAGTAAAACATTGAGTTCATTAAAAATCTTCATTGGGTCTGCATTATTGCTTTCGAACAACTTGTTTACTTTTTGCACCTGAAAATTAGGCAAATAGTAAAATCGGCTAAAAACGGCTAACTTTTTTTTACAAACCGGCTAACAAATCGGCTGCCGGCTAGATCGAATTTTCTCCGGCTAGTTGCTATCAAAACCGGCTAAATCTAGCCGGAAAACGGCTAAAATGGCAACGCTGCTCTGCTGACACCATCTGTTTAATATGCCTTGGTGTATTCCCTTAAATTGACATAAACGTTGAAAACTTCAAAGTCCGACAGATATATAGAAATTCGTGGATTTTTTAGTGGTGCAAGTTTATCCTCCTGTAACATTACGGACATTCCTTTAAACTGAAAACCATGAATACATGAAAATAATCGGAACTGACAAAATTTATATGAAAAATCTTTCAAATTTCCTGATTTCCAGTTTTGTTTGAGTTTAATGGAATTACACAAATTCTTTATATTAGATTTAGAACTCAAAAAAGAAGATTTCGGACTGCTTATGTGAGATCCTCAACTATTTTACCCCAAATTAGATTCTTATTCGTTAAAAAAACTGAGTATTTTATTTTTCGCTAATTTTTTAATAAAAATATGGTTAATTCTGCAACAAAAACCTCAAAAATCAGAGTTCCAAACTTTGCACAAAATTAAAGAAAATTCTGAAAAGTTTCATTCAAATATTGCACTTTTTATTTGCGCTCTCTAGAAACCAGTTGAGTATGCAGTTTTTTGCACATTCAATTTTAGTTTAATAAAGTACAAGTATGAGGAAGCTGGGACTTACCATTGACTTTTGGGAAATTGTTTCGTTTTTCCATATAAAATAACTTTCTAGAGAGCGTAAATAAAAAGTGCAATATTTGAATGAAATTTTGCAGAATTTTATTTAATTTTGCACAAGGTTTGGAACTTTGAATTTTGGGGTTTTTGTTGTAGAATCAACCATGTTTTTATAAAAAGTTAGCGAAAAATAAAATATTAAAAGAAATAGCTGCCCGTATTGTAAAATATTCGCTGTACCTAAGCTTTATTGACTGACTGTATATACTACACACGAACCCAAAATACGTAACTATATTTTTCAGCCAGATAACCCCCTACCTACAGCAACCGATTTGCGATATGTAGTGTTGTAGAAGAAACATTCTACATATGTATGAGTATAATGCAAATAAAATGTTTTGAAGGTCCAAATCTGATCATAGCCGAGTTAAGAGAAGAGAAAAACAAAAAAAAAAACACTTGAAATGGAATAAATTCGGAATTGTGAGTTGGTTTAGGGGGCCACTGATGACGTGGAACAAGCCACTCCTTTAACACGATATCATTGCACTGTATTCGGGACCCTCCACGTAAGAAAGTCTTGTTTAAAAAACTCACCCGAATGGAACAAGGACTATGTTTTACGAATATGCACATCGCTGCCTGTGTAGGGAAAGAACAAAAACAGCTGCCATCAGACGGTGTGGTTGTGCAGGAAAAGCACCATCTTTTTTCCAGATTCACTTTCACCAAAGAACAAATCTCCACAATCTGCATAAAGGTGAAGTTTAATAGCAGCAGTTGAACGGCGAAGCCCAAGTATTTGTGGTAAAAGAACGCTCTTCGGGTTCACAACAAAGCCCAAAAAGAAGCTAATATGTACCCAGGCGGACTTTTTTTTTTAATTTTTTCTGACGTCGTCGTTTAGTTTATGGAATGAATATATGGGGAAAAAATCATACGCAATTAATTTTCACACACATTGTACTTACATACATAGACAGAAGAAGTATACTGAAACGATGGCGTGAATTATTAATTCAGGTCTATATCGGCAATTGCCTAGTGGTATACCGGTAGCGTATATAATATCATATACATTCCCCATTCACTTTTTAATTTGAATTCATGTGCCCACCCTGCAAATCAAAGTTCCCGAAACCTTAACGAAAAATTTAGGAGTATCTGATTTCCTTAACGAATCTTCAAAGAAAATTATATGAAGTGGTTGACACGAACTCGTAAAGAAATTTCGGTACGAAAAATAAAGAACATTCTGAAAAAAATCGGCAAGAAATTCTTCACATAGCGGTATTATTTTCTTTGCTTTACCGATTTTCTTCCGAAATGTCGTAAAAGAACCGAAGTGTGCACAGTTTATTTCATTTTAGAAAATTCGACAAAAAATCGGATGAGATCTTAACGAATTCTTTTGAATTTCTCTACAATTCAGAATGCTCTGAAACAATGGTTTGCAGGGACCAGATATGGAGAAAACTTTGTGTTTGTGACAGAGTTTCCGGTCGTACTTTCTGTATAGGAAGAATGTGATTTCGTGTTGCATATAGGTCCTACTGGGTATGTATTCCCGAAAACTCCACTTCTCTTAGCCTGCATAGCTATTTACGGGTTGTGCAACAGCAGCTCAGCCTGCTCTATATCATGGGGGCACAATGATATGAGCAACTCGAAATGCTCCATTGATTCCAATTTCGGGCAGATCTTTGCACTCTCTCCAGCTGCTTAAACATTGTGATCTTATCTCGTGCGCTATACAAAACAAAGATACCCTAAAATAAAATTGGTCTGATTGCGGCACTGTAAAGCCGGTAAGCCACATTCAACGATGGATCCCGGCGCTTGTCGATAGCCCCTCCGCTAGTACTCCTTTCCTTGACTTTTGACGTCTAGGAAAGCCTACTGCCAAGGATAAAGCCCCGATATTTAGAGAGGATGAAAAATTTATATTTTATGTATTTTTGTGAAAAGCAAAACCACCTAAGGCGCAGCTGGCAGCCCAGTATTGAACAAAGTTCAGGTATCTCTGCAAAAAGTAAAACAATTTGCTAAGAGCTTTCCTGTAATCATGTAATCTACGCCGCCAGTATAAGAAATCACCAGACTAGTGCAAAGTCTTTCATCAATCGTTGACGACAATGACCCAAAGTGGGATTGAGAGAAGTGCGGCAGATCATTGAAGACAATAACCCAGAGTAATGGTGAGAGAAGTATTTACCTATTTTAGGATACAGTTACTAGCCTTCTTCGGGATGACTACCTACATATCTACAAAGAATGAGGCGAATAAATTTAGAAAGTTTTAGGTTTCAGGAAACAAACAAACTGGGCATTCCTTCAGCGATGCACTCTTCAACTGTATGTTAAGCTGATTCGAGAACAAATGCTCTCGAGGAATCCCGCTTCTTTAGTGCACATTAATCAGACCCTCAAGCATTTTTCGAGAAACGAGGAGAGAATATTTGGGCTGAGATCCCAAGAGAACACAATGAAAACCTTGCTTGCCTTGAAAATGAAGGTAACTCTGACTGCTCACTAAGTTTTTGAAATATAGTCCCTTCTTGAGTAGAACGCGTGATGTGATACCATCGGGACCGGGAGTTTTGATAGGTATGAACGAGTTGATCGAAAGACATACAAGTAAATGGAAATCAGAAACGGCTATATGTATTTATGTGGATTTATGTATTTAGACGTTGGCCGCTGTGGTGTAGTGGTAAGGAGTGCGCGCTTCCACTCCACAGCACCTGGGTTCAAGCTATGGTGAAAGCAACATCGCAAAAAAATATAGAAAAAAGGTTTTTTCTTAACACTGTAACTGTAGGTCCCTCCGCTTTGTGTGACAACATCAAGGCGCACGCCACAAATCGGAGGAGAAGCTCGGCGCCAAACACTAACATATGTGTAAGTGCCAATCTATTATTATTATTATTATTATTATGTATTTAGACACTTCAAACTTATAAAAGCATTCAAAGATGATCATCTTCGGAGTCAAATGTTCAAAAAGCTGTTTGAAATCACATGGTAAGGTATTTAGAAACTAAAGGTATTCATTCTTGAGGCGAAATTTACCTCTCAGATGCCCTGGTTGGAGCAAATTTTACAGCCTTCAAAGAAGAACGAACCGAAAGGATTAAATTGGTATCTTCGTAGGACAAGGATACATATAAGAACAGCTGGCTTGCCACATTCTTTAAGTCGGTCAAAGTTGTTATTTAAAGGTAATTATGGGCATTTATTTCATATAGCACCCACCATTGTTGTTTTTTTTTGTTTTGAATTGATAAGTTTTTCAGCAATCATGAGTTGACATCAGAAATTTCGAACGCATTTTTTTTTTAGTATTTACCGCGATATGCTTTAATAAATTAAATAACCTGAATATATGTATATAAAAATATCGTTCTGCTACAAGCTATAAATACTTCGAAGGAAGCAGAAATTTTCTAATCTAATTTATTTTCCCCCTTAATCAGAAATTGGCGAAACTCCAAAAGCACAGCGCTTTGTTTACCGCAAGTAACACAGTGGTTTGTGTGTGTGTGTGTGGCACGTGCCACAATTTGTCACTTACCTGTCAATCAAAAGTACTTGTCACCGAAATTAGGCTATTTTTAGCAAATATATGCAGAATATGCTAATTTTAGTAGCAGCACCAAAAAATAAATTTCTTAATTTTGTACATATGTATATAAAAATTTTCAAATCCAGCACCGAGAGGAACAGAATTTTCGTGAACACTACAAAAAAAAAAAACGGTGCAGCAAATTTCGTAGCTATCCTTCTGGTTGTTTTGTTTTTTTTTTTGCTTTACAACGAGTCAGCGAGATAAGGAAATACTCCCGCACTAACGATAAGCACAACTGAAGATGAACTATACAAACGAGCTGTATTTATACATGTAACCAGCATGGAATCTGCGAGTGTGTGTGTGTGTGTGTACATACATTCATCTACACATCGGCACGAGAAAGTTATGAGTTGTGAAGTGAAGGTGTTTTAGTTGCTACTCTTACTGGTTACAGCATCTTCGTTAAGTTGTTTTCGTTTTATTGCCACTTCATAATTTATGAAAATAAGTATGTGCATAACTTCATACATATACATACATACATACGTAATGGCAGTGAAGCTGATGCGAAAGGACAATTGCGCATGTCCTTGTTATACACACTTGCCTGCAGTGAAGCAGGTGCGTTTGTTAATGATTGCTCATACACACACACACACACATACATATCTGTGTGATTGCGTTGCTGGGGTTATTATGGTACTGATGTGAAACCAAAAATAAACAAAGAAAAACAGTAAATCTTGTTTAGATTGCGTATACGCCATGGCTGTTCCTTAATGCTCAGCTGATTTGCTTTACAAAATGTATATCAGCAGCACCTTTACTCTCTATGTAGATATGTGTCTTCTAAATAGTGAAATGTTTACCTTAATTGCGTTGTGCTAAGATGCTGTTCTGCAGCTCTTTAAGTTATGCGTGAGCCACATATGTTAATTGGTAAGAGGCGCTTCAAAATTTGTTGCGGTCGCCATGTATATTTACAGTTTCTTTCGTACCTTCTACCTGGCGTGCTTGTTGGGAAAGCGATAAATTTATATTAGGTAAACTTGTATACTGGGCGCCATGGTGACATTGTTTACGCACTGAGATTTGTCACTTGCAGTGTACATCCATATGTATGTACTACATGTACATTAGGGTGACGCGCCAAAAAAAGTTGAATTTTTTCCATCGGCATTATACAATTTATTATATTTAAAGATTTCGGCCAAAACATTTCGGAAAAATATTAAGTTTTACGCAAGCTTGGCCGATTTGAAAATACATCCAAAAATCTCATTATTTTAAGTCCGGTAATAAAATGTTTAAGCATTTTTATGCAGAAGCTCTTTCAGCATCCGAGTTGATTCTTTTGGAAGAAATTGTTTTAAAAGCTGCTTTTATTAATAAAAAAACAAGATTTTTGAAGGTATTTTCATAACGGCCCAACTTACGAAAATTTTAATATTTTTTCAAAATATTTTGTCGGAAGTGTTAATAAACATATAATAAGTTTTATAGTTCCAATGGAAAAAGAGTACAAACGGCTTTTTGTGTGGAGATTGATGCACCCTAATGTACGTGAACATGAACTAACTAATGCCGAATTTCCACTTGGCATTGAAATGACAAAAAATTTATGCCATTTAAAAAATGCCATGCGAAAATGAACTACTAGCGATTATTTTTTTAATGTAATGACACGTTTATGTTTTTATGCCCGACTTTGTCATTTGTCATTTTTGCCATTTAATGCCTAGTGGAAATCCAGCATAAGGTAGAATATTTTTTATGATTTTTGTTAGCTTTTGGGGCAAAAATAATTTTTTTTTAATTTTTTTTTTTTTTTAATTTCTAAACTTTTTAATATTTTTTCTTTATCTTATTACATTAAACGAGCAATTCTTGTATATATACAATATCTATAGGGTTCTCGGAAACGACTCTAATGATTTTGATGAAATTTTGTACACAGATAATGTTTTGGAATAGGTATTATCTCCGAGAAGACTCGTACAAGGTTGCCATCTATTCGAAATTAGTTAAAAATTAATTAAAACATCATAATATGGGTATCAAATGGAAGGCATTTTAAAGATCCGTAATTCAAAAATATTTTTAATAGGGTTGCCACCTATTTTGAATGGCATATTTATTTTATTTTTTGTTTAGAAAAAAGGTAAAATATTACTATTCATGGGTACCAAGAGAAGGTTCTTAAACAATGCTTTCCCTATACACACAGTGTTATGTCTTAGGATAATAGTGTAAGGTTGCCACTTATTTTCGATTCTACACAGTTTATCTAAATCATCGCAATATGGATATCAAATGAAAGATATTGTTGAGAACTTTGGTTAGAAAATATTTTCTATCAGGGTTGCCACGCTTCCATGAAATCCAAATTTTTATTTTGTTAATTTCAATCAACATTTTTTTTGTATGTATACATACATACATAGTACACATAAGCTCAAGATATGTACCATTCATTCCAGCGTATTTCGGAATGGGGTTGCCACCTAAATTTTAGGGTAAGGAATTTAGAGAAATGCATCTAGAGCATTTCTGCATCAAAACGAAAATTTTGAAAAAATATGTCACTTATGTCTTTTTGGCGTATAAGGCTCAATATAGAGAGTTGCCACTTTTTTTCAGAACTTAAAACCACTTAATTGTTTAGTTAAATAAAGTATTACTACAATGTGGGTGTCAAAAGAAAAGGGTTGCCTTTTGTTCAAAAAGTTAAATTCAAATTAATTTACAACTACATTTTTAATATGGGTATTAAACAAGAGGCGTTTGGGAAAGCTTTATTCCGAAAATATTTTTGAATAAGGTTGCCACCTGGTAGGAAATTCTTAATTAGTAAGTTCGTTTTTAATACTGGTATTAAACGAGAACGGTTTAAAAACCTTTATTTAAAAAAGATTTTTTAGGAGGGATGCCACCTGTTTAGAAATTCAAAAACAATTGAATTAGCAAATTAAATGAAAGCGAGATCGGTTTAGTAAATAAGCTTAATTTCTAAAATACTTTTAAACAGTTCAGAAATGTTACATAGAGGCTTACATATTTCCACTAAATAATTTGTTAAGAATTTTATAAGAAAGTTGCCGTATTTCCAAATTTTATGTTAATCAACTTTTTCCATCAAAATGCACAGCATAATTCTAAAGCATTCGGTATAACAGATTGAGGCGCAGCTGTAAATGCTGATACAACTAAATAAATGCAGTGGTGCGTAGGTGTATAGATACGTATACTCTTCGGATGAGATGTGAATTTAAAGTAAACAACATTAGCATGAAGCGGTCGCAGGTTATTTTTAGAAACAATTTTGAATTTCTGATCATCACTCCCAACTATAGACGATTTACCTTTACCTTTGTACACACGCTGGTATATACTACACATGCACATACATACACAGGTGTATTATAAAATCCTCGCTAACGAATTTAAGTTATTTTTTATGCACGTACATACGAACCAATACAAATATTATGCGACATTCAAGGACTATGGTTGCTAAATAAAACTTTATAAAGTTTCATTCGATGGGCGGAAAATGGTTTACGTGACTGTTGAATTTACAAACTCAACCTGGAAGAAATTCTTTTAGTATTTATAAGTTTACCTGCATAGCTACGGTGACCATCCGTCCTTTATTTTAAAGGACAGTCCTTTAATTTAACCCCCTGTCCTTTATAATTTTTTTCAAAATAAAGGACGCCTTTTGTCCTTTATTTCTTAAACTGTCCTTTAAATCAGCTCTGCGTTTTTCAGAGGTAAATTTTTAAACACAGAATATGAAAAATAAAAATGTTCCTTTTAAAAAATAATGAAAACCTTCGCCAGTTTGTTTCGCACCCCACTTAAGGGTTTTTTTTTTAATAAGTGTCTTCGCACAATCTATAAAGCACAGGGAAAGTTGTGCCCAGGATCGTGTTGCACCCTGAGTTTCCAGTTCCACTGAAAGAGAACAATAAACCCCCTGCTGCACATTGGTTCTAAACCGGCATTTAGTGTTCGTAATTCACTGGGGCCTTCATTTTTTCACTTCTAAGCTTATAATATTTGCAAGAGACCAGTTGGGCCTGATTTGTGAATTTTTATTTGATTATATTAATTTTTTTTAGTGCAAAATGCAGAAAAAGTGGCAATTTTGAAGAAAATGTGTTCTCCTCTTCCAGTTAATAAATGTTACATAACAAAGACTAGTTAAAAACAATTGTATGGTTCCCCAAACCGAAAAAATTACAAAAAAATGTTTGAAATGTTATAAAAAAAGTTTCACAAAAATAATTTTTTTTTTGGTTTTTAGTAAAAATTGGTTGAAAAATTAAAACTGCGGTGAATTATGAACATTAAATTCCAATTTTGAACCACTGTGTGCTGACTTCGGCGTGCAGTATGAATTATGGTAAAAGCATTTTGGCAGCAAAGGATCGCGAAGTCCTTGAAAAGGATTTGGCTTCATTTTTCGGAATCGGTAAATATTTGATTTAAATTACGATATGGGTAAGGTACTTTTATCATACAAGTTGTATGTACGTATTCCCAAATAATTTTGAAAAACGAAGTCCTTTATTTTACATTGGTTAATATGGTCACCGTATGCATAGCATATTCGTAAGGCGGATGTTTTTATACCTGACCATTCCCAGTTACATGGTTATATTGATGTATGTATGTATACTTGCAAACCCTAAAGGAAAATTTTCAACAAGCGAGTACATTTTCTGGAAAAGAAGTAGAGAAACAGAGAATCATTGCTGTCAACAGATGCCAGTACTTTACACTGAGTAAGCAACTGGCCAGCAACCTCCCTTCTCATCGTTCAGAAATCACACTCTATACATTGCTATGACGCTTCTAGTCTATAAGGAGGGCCTTGGAGTAATGGAAAGAAAGATTCTGCGGAAAATTTACGGGCCTTTGCGCTTTGATGATGACGAATACGGCAGACCATATACGTAGATAAATTTCTGCGATTTCAAATGCCAATGGACGCCAAAGCTCAAAACCTTAAATTATTCAATGCGGAATTCGCGGTTTTATCAAAGCAGAGGAAGGAAGGCCTTCCCTGCGATGGTAAGACCAAGTGGAACAGGACTTGATCTCAGTTCGCATTTTAAATTGGCGTCAGTCGGCACAGCTACACGACTGACATGCGTTAGATAACGAAGAAGAAGACACACCTTGGAACATGCCTAAGTTAAATGCGTTATTTTGATTTCGATACGAGTCCTTGCAAGGTAATTAAATATGTATGTATGTATGTATGTGTT